TTCTCATCTGTTCTTGAATTTCTTTAGATCGTGGCATGATGTGTTGCTCTTTAAGCATGCTTCACTTTGTCAGACAGGTTCTGTTTAAGTGGTTTCTTGATTCAACAGGTCTGGCAGTAATCAAATGTGGCTAGTGAAATTTAACTCAGCTTTCTAAAATAATGTGGTTAATTGCAGTTCTTTCATGATTTAACAGGAGGGGGCAATTAATTTTTCACGTAGGGCCACGTAGGTTTGGACAGCTTTTTTCCCTTAAATTAAATCATCATTTAAAAACTGCATTTTGTATTTACTTGCATTATCTTTGTGTAATATTAAAATTAGTTTGATGATCTGAATCTTTTAAGTGTGACAAATATGCAAAAAATTTTAAAAACAGGAAGGGGGCAAAACCTTTTTCACACCAATGTATATCACACAAATTCATACAAAATATATTACAGCAAATCTTCTGAAGTGGCTAAGTGCCTACAATTTCTTATAAAAAAAAAAAAGTATAAACATGTTATTGCATTATTATGACTCATATTTTATGTTGTTGTCTGCTCTAACTCCTCCCTACTTTAATAGCCTATACATCAATGTGAATATGTCTGCTAAATTTATTAATGCAACTTTACAGTAGATAATAGTGTCTTTTAGCATACAGTATTCTGACTGACGATAATTCTGACCTGCACTTGAAGGCCTGTACAGGTTTATTACTTGTGCATTAATTGAAAAAAAAAACATAAAACAAATTAATTTTAGCTGTCAAATCAACAGTTCTCCTTTTGTTTAGTTTAAGCACTAAAATAATTAAAACTAAATAAACAACTAAAACAAAAACTTAAACTTAATTTAAATAAACCTATAAAACTATTACTAAAACTTGAACTAAAATGAAAACTGAAAATATAAAAAATAAAATGTATTTAAAAATATATTTAAAAAAACTATATAATAATATTTTATGGACGTTTAGATACTCGCTAATATCCAGGGTAACAAAAACCATGGAACTAAAACAAAACTAAAACCATAAAAAACATTTTCATTACTTGAAATAAAATAAGCATTCAATAAGCATGCCAAAGCAACATTTCCCATTTTCGTTTAGTTTGTTGAACTAAAATATATAATATATAAACTAAAAACTATATATATATGTATGTATGTATGCATGTATGTATAGACAAAACAAAATCTAATAAAAATGAAAAAAAAAAAAAAACTAAAATTGTAACTAAATTCGAAAATCTAATTCAAAATATTAACAAAACCTATAACATCAATGATACTACAACGGCACTGCTAGTTTCTAAGAATATCCAGTTCTCCTCCAGCTTTGAGTGTAAATGTGCAATATGAATCATCTGAGAAACCATCACAATGCATCTGTGCATTAATTTTCCCTTGAGCTAGTTAACTGCAGGACAAATTACCTTTCCACATGGTCCAAGTTTCCAGCCACCCCGAGGCTGTATTTTTGTTTTGTTTTGAAAAAAATAATAATAATAATTAGCTAATTATTTATTGTTTGTTTGTTTATTTATTTAATACTGCGCTTTATGCTTAAAACAAGAATAAAACTCGGGAAATTTAATTTCATAATGACATTTTAAACATTTTCTGAACTACTTGTCATTTCTAAAGCTAATTTCACAATAGGCATTTTAAGTATCCTAAATACATATAATAATAATAACTTGAGCTGTATTTTTGTTTTGTTTTGAAAAAAAAAATAATAATAATTAGCTAATTATTTATTGTTTGTTTGTTTATTTATTTAATACTGCGCTTTATGCTTAAAACAAGAATAAAACTCGGGAAATTTAATTTCATACTCAATGACATTTTAAACATTTTCTGAACTACTTGTGCATTTCTAAAGCTAATTTCACAATAGGCATTTTAAGTATCCTAAATACATATAATAATAATAACTTGATAGGAAATGTGACGACATAAATAATAAAACTTACTATATTTCCCTTTGTTTTCTTCACATTAAAAAAGGCCAAATATCTTGGCACCAAAATATTAAGAAAATATATTGTTCAAAAGTGTAGGGTTTTTTAATAAAAAAACTTTTTAAGGATTTAATACTTTATAATATACTTTATAGGACACATTAAATTCATCAAAAGTGACAGTCAAGACTTTTGCACTGTTACAAAAAAACACGCTGTTTATTTGAAATTTGTATTCATCAAAGAATCCTGACAAAAATATTACAAATCCACACAACTGTTTTCAACGTTGATAATAATAATAAATGTTTCTTGAGCAGCAAATCAGCATATTAGAATGATTTCTGAAGGATCATGTGACACTGAAGACTGGAGGAATGATGCTGAAAATTCAACTTTGCATCACAGGAATAAATTACATGTTAAAATATATTCAAATAGAAAACTGTTATTATAAATTGTAATATTTCACAAAAATCCTGTTTTTAATGTACTTTTGATCAAATAAACGCAGCCCTGGTGAGCACGAGACTTCTTTCAAAAACATTTTAAAAAATTCCGACCCCAAACTTTTGAATGGCAGTTTATGTAATATAAATTAAACGCATATTAAAATACAGCACATAGAATCTTATATAAAAACTAGTATCCAGATTACCCAACATCCCTTATGAAGAGTCTGTCTGTGCATGTGTGTCCAATGAAGAGTGTAAGTGAATTATCAATTTCACAAAAATCCTGTTTTTAATGTACTTTTGATCAAATAAACGCAGCCCTGGTGAGCACGAGACTTCTTTCAAAAACATTTAAAAAAATTCCGACCCCAAACTTTTGAATGGCAGTTTATGTAATATAAATTAAACGCATATTAAAATACAGCACATAGAATCTTATATAAAAACTAGTATCCAGGTTACCCAACATCCCTTATGAAGAGTCTGTCTGTGCATGTGTGTCCAATGAAGAGTGTAAGTGAATTATCAGAGCTTAACTAAACTCATAACCATCTGTTTGGCTGCATGAAATAGACAATGCATTCTATTTTTAACAAATGCATAACTGTAAATGGCAAAATTAAATTTTTACCCTACAAAACTACATTTTTAATTAGGTGTGAAAATGCGAACAGAGAGTAACTAAAAGGAAGTATAGCCACAACCGCATCTTTATAATCTTAACAACTTAACAACAACCAACTATGGGCTGATCTTGCTTATCTGCCAATTTTAAATACCAGTCTAAAGTTTGCATATTTTGCAGATATGCTTGAAACCAGATTCGCAGAAAAAATGTAAATTTTCCTACATATGTAATTCTTTACAACCAATAAATAAAAAATTATAATTAAACAATTTAAAATTGTTTTGAATGATAACACTGATTATTTTATTATTATTATTACTACAATTTTAATGGATGAGTTAACCAGGAAAATCTACCAATAAGTGTCAAGCACTTAAAAAGCAAAAATAAAAAGTATCATCATCATTAGTATCATTTACATTTAATGGATGGGTTGACCAGACATGACATGGCATAAAACAAAATAATTATTTACATTTTAATGGATTTAAACCTACCAATAAATGGCCAGCAAACATGTGAACTCCTTCAACAGTGTTAACATCTTTAAAACTGTTTAAAAAGCTCAAATTATAAGATTGTTCTGATTTAATATTTTTGGTCACTACATAATTTCCATACTTTCATGCATGCTATTTCATAGTATTAGTAAATAGTAATAATAAAAAATGAGTAGATGTTGACTGGTAGTGTATTTCTGATGATGAAATTTGCTTACATTTGTTTATTAACTGAGGAAGAAAAAAACATGGCGGGTCTATTGGAAAAATCCCATTCAGACGTAGAGTAACGGGACATCCACTTACTGTCAGCGAGTATATATATATAAATAATTTCACTGTAACCCCTAAAGAGCAAACACAGCCATTTCTTAATTCCTGTGAGATTTGAGTCTGTTGGAGCAGCACGTGACCTTTTTCAGCCTTCAAAAGGGCTGCTGGAGCAACGTTTCACTCCTTAGCGAGGTGTGCTGATTTTAATCGAGTTAACTCCATTCAAACAGCCTAAATCAAGCTCAGTCATAGAAAAGTAAACAAAAACAGAAGTAAACAGAAACAGGAAGTGAGAAAAGTGAACCAGGAGGAGTTCGGCCAGCACCTGTCAATCAAGCTGGAGGTGGGCGGAGCACACGGTTCCCACATCTACTTTTCCTATTTGCCCGCTTCCCCCATTGATGTCGACGCAAAAGCTGTGTTGATTAGCGATGCACACCTTTGACAGGTGAGCTTCTCCTCGCTCGGCGCGCACAGCCTCCCACAGGACAATCACACCCGTCTCTTCCGCCTCACTTCCCCTTAATGAGTCCTATCTATGGCATTGGCTCAGCAGCTGCCATCGGTAAATAACGGTTTGCCAGACGGGATGTCAGGGCGGCCAGGTAGCTCTCATCCCCTACTGAGCTAAAGAGCGATAATGATAACATCCAGAATTGGGAACGACTGCAAATAACTGTCTCTTTTTCTCTCCTCCTGTGCTCAATCGGGAGGAAACCCAAACCTGCTCTAAACCGCCACCCCCTTGGCCTAGAACAAGACCCCGGATCCCCCAGGCGAGACCGGGCTTGATTTCCATCTAATTGCCCTCATCTTGCTCTTCCCGACCATTAAAAGCTTGATGTGGAAGAGGTCTTTGATTCCAGAGGAGAGGAAGTTCTCTCTCTCCTCCGAGACTCTCCGACGGTTGCAAGATAAATTGCAGCTTTGAACCCGCTTGTCAGAAAGACGTGGCGGGCAGGTGACGCTGTGGGCGCGGGCGTCCCTGACCGTCTGAACTTTGTATGTGTGGGCTTTTACCCAGACATTTCGCTGCCCTTCAATCCAGTCCCACCGGAACGAGTCAAAAAGCATCGCAAATGAAAAGAGAGGATAGGTCGGGCCTGTAGTAGTTATTAAGCGCTCTACCTTGGAAATACATTTTCTGGGAATGATGATGATGATGATGATGATGATGATGATGTAGTTAGGGATAAAACGAAACAAATTTTTCTAACAGTAACTGTAATGCATGTACAAAGTGTCCTTTAATGTTGTCCGTAACCTTATGATCTCTCATTCCTCCTCAGCTTGTACTGCAGATCATGTGTTTACTGGACAGTCCAGCTCACTGTTGCAGGCTCAGGTACTGCAGTAGTATAGTCTCATGTATTCAGGCATTAATATTGGCATAACTGACCTTTTGATAAGCTCCGCCCCTTTTGTTACTGTTGCTAACTCAAGTTAACCTGTTAGCGTCCCACTGTACTGCCCGTGGTACACTGTAAAATTAGGCTAATTTTACAGGAATGCTAAGGGGTTAAGTTGTTGCTAAGTATATTTATACATTATACATAATATACATTGCAGAGAAATTTTCTTTAACAGCATGATTTTAGTAAAGCGTACTCATGGTGGAAAAAATTGATTGATACAATCAATCAATCAATCAATCAATTCTAAAACAAAAAATCCACAAAATTCCATAAAACTCTATTATAATACATTTTGAATGCATTAAAACACATTAAACATGTGTTTAACTAACTAACTAAAATAAATATAAACTTACAATGTTGTACAATATTTTTGAGACTTTTCATAATATTCTATAAAGCTCCATTATAATCCATTATAAATAGATTAATAGCATATTAAAATATTTTCAATCAATCAATCAAATCAATCAATCTTTTGGCAAAAATGTTTCGCCATATTACTGATAATTTCCATGACATTTCTTAAAACATCATTATAATCAATTATAAATGGATTAAAACACATGAAAATATGATTAAGCAAATAAATAAATTCAAGTCTTGGCAACAATGTTTTACCATATTTTTGATAATTTCCATAAAAATCCATAAAACTCCATTATAAATGAAAATAAATAAATAATAAATAAAACAGGATTCTCTGAGAAAAGGCTAAGGTTGGACTGGTAAGTAATGTTTTAAAGGGATAGGGATAGCAAATGAAGTCATACAAGTTTGGAACGGCATGAAGGTGAGTAAATGCTGACAGAAATTTCATTTTTTTGGGTGAACTATTCCATTCAGGCAGAGTTCTGAGAAGAATCAATTGCAGCCAGCAACCATCCAGACTTGGGGTCATCTGACCTTCATATAAAGCAAGCAACCACGGCTTGCTTCTAATTATAAAACTGAAAGCAGAGCATAATCTACAGGTGTGCTCAAGGCTATTAAAGTAAGTGCCTCAAACAACCGCTTGACTCTCTTTCAAAGAACTGATGCCACAAGCCTTGCCAAACTGGCAAATCAAAAGCCCTCATTGTAACAGCCTGGGAAATAAATGTAAAACACCTGAAAGCAGGGAAACTTAACATATTACATAAACATGACTTTGATTCTCAGTGGACTGATATGAACCTGCTTGCGTAAAGCCAACCAATCCAATCAGAGTGCAGTTTTGAGAAACACTTGTATTTTC